TTGCGTACTTCTGTTTCTTTCTGGGACCCTTGGCCAGGCGCGGATCCTACAGCACCGGCGGGAGCTCAGGCCTGCGTACTCGGCTGTCGGCACCAACTCCAGGGTTAGAGAGGTCAAATCGTCTTGTTTGAAGATTTAAGTGCTTCAGTTTTTAATCGATTGTTTAAAGCAGGGTTTCCACCTCGGCTCTTAATTACGTGCCTGAAGCCAACACTGACTTCAGAACAGGATTAATTGGTTTGACTGTTTCAGATCTTAAATATGTTGGATTTTGCCTTTGAACTAATGCTCTTCACAAGTCACGTCAAATTCCAAACCTTTTCTAGAAAGAAACAGCGGGACAGTTTGCCAGACGAACAGTTTCTATTTCAATTAAGGCTTCGATGGGGACATGCAGCTCAGCCAGAATGAAAACCAGCAGGTGTGTGGGCCTGGAATCCTGGATTAAAAAGAGAAGACACGGGGTTTTATTTGACTGTCTGAAAGGACTGTGCTGCATCCAGGCGAATTTCAGTGTCTCTTGCCTCCGTTTGTCAGCGTGGCATCCCGGCTGTTGCACCCCAGGGTTAAACGGTGCTTGGAGATTTTGTTCCCACTGCCGCTGCATTGTGCAGAGGGCCTTGCGGGGGTTGTACGATGAGAAGAGATGAAATGCAGGAGTAGTGGGTGTGCACAGGTCCCTCCTGAGTGCCTGGAGCATGAGCATGAGTCATTCATGAGCACACATTACTGAGGCTTGTGCAGCTGCCCAGATCCATTTCATTTTCAAAATGAGGCTTCAGGAGATTTGGTTGAGTGAAGCCAAACGCCAAGTAGAAACTAAGAGTAGTTTTTCTCGAAGGAGTGAAGTACTCTTTGTCTGTTGGCAGTGTAGAATATCTTCAGTAGATCCCCCAAAAAGGGCAAGCGTAACCCATGTGAAATTGTTAAACCATCCACTGATTCCCAAGTCACTGGCTCATGAGTAAAGTTATCCAACAAAACTAATTATTTAACTGAACAAGTAATAGGTTTATTCCATGCTGAAAAGAGGAGAGAAAACAACGTTTCGGCTGTGAAGCCTTCTTCATAATAAACCTATTGTTCCTTTGCAGACTACGCATGCAGATGCAGCTACTCACTAATAACTAATAAGTAATAACTAATCACTGAACTAATTCTATAAATTGTGCAGTATTGATAAAGGGCAGTACTACTCACAGTTCTTGGGTCCTTCGGTTGATTCTGACCTGGAAATCATTCTATGTGGAGTCTTCGTGTTCTCTTTGCATCAACAAGCTGCTCCAGCTTCCTGGTGACTTCAAAGATCCTGCTGATTGGGCTAGTTGCCATCTTCTCCTAGTTGTAAATGTGTGGCTGCTTTAAAAGAGACCTAGAAAGCAGAGAGACATACCAGCCCCCCCAGAACTGGATCCTGTTTTCAAACAGCCCTTCGTTTTGTGAAGATTATTGGGTCCAGTGGATTTTTGAGGTGTCAATCATCCATCAGGGTTGAAACAATGTGATCAATTAAGCAGGTGATGTACTGATTTAGAGATCAGTAACAATTTAACTTTGGGACCAGAGATCTCTCAAAACAAAAACATGTATAATTTATCTGGAACATGAAGGTGTCTTAAGAAACATTTGATTTAGAGTGACCTAGTCATTATGGTTTTGGGTTCTCTAGGATCAGGGCTAAAGACCCCACTCGTTTAGAAAGTCCAATCACTCTCTACTCCATCACAAACTTATGCTTAATTAGGTAAGCAGGTTGTGACAATCACCCCTAATCTTGTATACTTGTACACACAAGGAAGCCCACCTTTTCTAGTTTTTCCATTCTGAAACATGGATAACTGCAGGCTTCTGCTGTAGAGCTGTAAAGAGCTCTGTTTGTGACCCTCAGTCAATGTTTTACAGGTGTGTCAATATCAGAGACTGAAAATTGTGTATTATTAGATTGCTCTAACTTAAGCTAACAATCGCTGCTGTTCATAACTGGAGAGCTGATACCCGTATACTGCCGTAGCTCTGAAGCAGAAATCAAGGACCTGCATCTTCTGTCCTCCAAAATGGGTGCTGCAGTACATACAGAAGCATACTTGTGCCACATACACACAAAAATGGGTGCCCGTCTAAGTAGGTATCTTGGAACAATGAAATAAGCACATACCAATATGTTTGCAGTTTTTTTTGAGCTGCTCTCTGCCCCTGCATGTTTGAAATTTAAGCCTCACAGAAAATTCCATATCTACCTTTGAAGAGTTAATTAAGTTGACTTTCTACACACAAGCTAATTGTTTTCTTGATCCAAAACAGGTCAACCAAAGGTAACAAAGTAAATAATCCCTTTGATTATTTTTGGCTGGCATATTATAAATGGTATTTTGTGCACAGCAACAATACAGTGAATGTAATCAAGTCTGCTCTATGGTTATCAGAACTCTTAAAACTATCATAAAAACAACTGGCACACAACACAGAATCAACAATAAACACATTTTTAATCTTCTAAAAGGTCCCTCCGGGTTTACCTTCTCTGTGCACAGGTACACAATGAAGAGGGTCCTGTCTGCAGGAAAACGGCATTTTATTAGAAAAGGCGAAGACATTGCCAAAAGGCAATCCAGCTTCTCTAGCACCTTTGACCAGTAACTGATCAAATCCAGGAACATACAGTATTCAGCCCTTTCCTGAAAAGAAGAAACTAGATCTGCTTGTATAACGTATATTCCATACTCCCACAACCCTTTGTGTAAAGTGCCTGCTGTTCTTAGTGCACATACTATAATGTTGCTTCCTCTGGATCAGGTGCTACGACTGATTCTGAAGAAGTCCAGTAGGCTAACTTGGACGTATTACAGCTTTTGCTTTAGTTCAAGAAGACTTGGATACAGAGGTTCTGTGTTTTTAGGCTGTGAACACAGCACATTCCTTTCAGCACAGGAGGGCACCATGGTAGTCAGCTGGCCAGTATTCACAAGTGCAGTTACTGTACCTCAATATAAGCAACACAAGCAAACTGTATGATTAAAGATTTAAGGAGGTCAAAGATCACCAGAATGCAAGTAAATAATTGCATCACTCTGAATGAGACAAGCAGGGTATTGTGAATTGTAAACATTTCTTTTAATGAGTGTTGGGCCTTGGAAACTAGTAAAATCAGGAGTTAAGACCGATACCCAGCACGACTAATTTAGATCTTCTCGATTAAAATGGGAAACGACAGACGCACCATCATTTTATTCCTCTTTTATTACAGAAAAATCCATTCAGGCACACTTCCTAGAAATCATTTAAAATAGGTCCAGAAATAACACAAACAAACAAAAGAAATACAGTACGAAACACCATTCTGATTCGCTTGAGGAAAAACAGATCGCTGTACTTCACAGCACGTGACAAATGCCTCGGGTTCGAGAAGGGATGGGCGTGGGGGCCCTGCAGCCCAATCGACTTGTGGACAGGGTGCAAAAAAAAACAAAAAAACTGGGGATTATCACTGTGTTAGGCTCATTGATCATCTTGTAAAGGAAAGTACAGTCCATCTGAGCAGAAATTTCATCGGTTTAGTCCAAAAGCCGAGATCAGCACAACCCAATACCCACTTCTCTCTCCGAATCGAGACAGCACTGCCTCCTCCAAACCCCCTACCCCCTGAAAGGAGAGGGACAGTGGGTAGCACCAATGTCCAAAGAAGCAGCAACATGGTTATTGAGAAACAGAGCCCATACCCAGAACTAAAAACAGACCCATGTTAAAAACAAGACCGCACTGATCAGTTTGGGGCCTAGCTGGAGGCCTGACTAGGGCCTGGTGTTTTTAAAGGCTGCATTGATGCTCAGAAAAGGTGAGGCTTTTATAAAAAAAAAAAGTATTGGTGTGCCTGTTAAACCTCCTGCAAGTCTTCATCAAAAGGAGAAACATCTCATGGACTGGTGTAGTGCAATATTCCTCTCTCTCTATCTCTCCCTCCCTCTGCCAGAGTGTCCATCAGAGCTCAGTGCAACAGTGCTTGTTAACTTAAATGCTGAACTGGTGAAAATGGGTGTGGTAGGACAGGCTCCAGCTCCCCCGTGACCCTGTACTGGATAAAGTGGTTAGGAAATGGGTGGAGGCAGAGGAATGGAGTCCTGTGCCAAGTGAGAGCATTTACACTCCTGCCTTGCTCCCTACACTAAATGGCACAGGCAGGAGGGAGGAAAGAATTTTCAGTAATGGCACCTCTGGATCACATCTGTTCACAATCCGCTTGAAACCAGATCAAGGAGAATCGCGCCACGAGACCCGCAGCGGGTAAGAGACACAGCCGAATCCTGACTGTGCAGGGTGTTGGGAATAAGGTCACCTGCCTGGAGCAGACAGGTGTCACTTCAGAAAAGGAGATACAACACAGCTCCCTTTTAAAACACCGGTAATACCTGCAGTACATCCTTAAAAAAATCTTGCACACATCTTTTTTACAGCTTTGCTTTTAGTATTTCACAGAAATCAAGAAGCCCGTTGTCTCAAGACAGTGCAGAGAGACATTATATTCGTGAATAAAACCCTTTGTCTGAATGCACCAGTGTGAAGAACAAGCGCAGAAAACGCAACCTTGCAGCTTCAACAGTGGTGAGCGTCGGGGATGAGGGATTCAAGGGAAAAAAAGCCATTTCAAACGCACTCATGATGGGTTTTGCAGGCAAGACTGCAAGTCTCTCAACGAGGTGGCCTGGTGAAGATTCCCAGTGCAGTAACCTTGTCTCCGCTTCCTCCCAATACTACAGGCTGCTCCCAGGAGGGAAAGCCATTCATTTCTCATGGGACTTGGGGAAAAAAAAAACAAATATATACATGCACTGAACTGATAGCCCCCAGAAACAAGACTTTAGGGATGATTCAGAACAAGCTTGCGCCAAGATTGTATAGGTTTGCAGTGAGGAATACCAGGTCCTTGGGTACACCAAAAATAAAATGCATAGTTATGTTGTTTGCAAACGGAAAAGTGAATCATAGGATCCTGAATTCGAAGTGACCCTTCCCTCATCACACACGCATCTTTAAAAAAAACTGCGAAACATTAAAAATCTGCATACCTGAGCTGTCAGCCTTTTACTGAAGCCAGCGGGTTGAACTCTTAACTGTGATCACTCACGCTGAACACCCCTGTCCGCTTTCTGAAAAAGCGAGATGCGTTCTTCTACATGAGAGTAAGAGAGAACTTGATAGAACTTTTCAGGAAACGTTGTCGGAAAAGCCATCAAAAACAGAATCCTGGTTTTCACACACTTTTCCTTCCCAGTCCTGGCTCCCTGCCTCCCCTGCAACCTCCCACTCATTTGACGTTTCCCCAAGAGGCACATCCCTCAAGGAACACCAGCTTACCGGCCAGCTTTAGGAAAAATAAAACACCGGTTTGATAGAGATAGTGGGGTTAATGCACTGGAAGAGGGGGGCGAGGACAAGACCGAACCCCACCGACTTGTTCAGGGAAGACACGATCGTAAACGTCTGGCGAGAAGGAAAGAAGGGACAGGGCACACAAGACAACTGGCCAAGTTGGACTCATTAAAGACCTTGCCTTCTTCACTTAAAGGCTTCCCTGACGCTCACTTCCCAGAGATCCAGGCCGCCTGCGAGGAGGAGGGCCGCCGCGGCCGCTCAAGGCTCCAGCTCGGCGTCGTCGAACCCGTGGAAGGACTCGGCATCGCTGTCTCTCTCGAAGATGTGGTGCAGAGCCCTGGGGTCCGGCAGAGCCCTGCCTTCATCCGGAGAGGCGCTCCCGTCCTCCTTTCCCAGATCCGGGCCCCCCCCGAGCCGCGGCTCCTGCTGGCCCTGCGCCTGGCCCGCCGTCGGCTCGGCCCCCGTCAGCCGCCGCTCCAGCAGGCCGACCAGCTCGGCCTGGGTCTCGGCCACGCTCTCCACCCTCTCGGGCCCCGGCAGCACGCTGGCCACCAGGAAGGACTGCTGCAGCAGCTCGGGGTGGGCGGCGACGGCCCCCAGCGCCTCCGCCACCCAGCCGACGAGCAGCTGCAGGACCTGCTCGGCGCCGGGCCCCGGCTCTTGGGCCTGGCTGGCCCAGGAGCTCCACTTGGCCTGCAAGAAGCTCCGCAGGGCGGGCCCCACGCACACCTCCAGCGGCAGGACCCTGGAGGTGCAGCCCGCAGGGATGATGGCCGGCAGGGTGTTGGCCGCGCTCAAGGCCGCCAGAGAGTCTTCGGACATGTGGGAGCGGAAGGAGTCCACCACCAGCATGCCCTTGGCGCCACTCTGAGAATCCATGTGCTTCTGCCACACCCTGGAGATCCAGATCTCCACTTCCTCTTCTTCCGTGAAGCCCTCGGGCTTGGCCTCCAGCAGGACGGAGTCGGGAAGGGAGGCGAGGACCCGGCTCGGGGGCTGGCCCTTGAAGAAGATGAGGGTGGGCAGGATGCTGCCGTCGGCGAGGGTGGCCACGACGACGTCGAACAGCGACTCCCCCGTCCCCACCAGCTGGAAGGCCGCCTCCTTGCCGGTGGCGCCAGGGCCGGCCAGGGCCTCCAGGTCCACGAAGACGGAGAGCTCGTCCATGGTGCCGATGACGGCAAGCGGGATGTCCTGCACGCGGATCTGCCGCTGGACAAACTCCACGAAAGCCCGGACGCTCTCCTCCATGTCCGGGGGCAGCCGGCGCCCCACGGCCCCCCTGGCCTGCAGCCCCAGGTTGTGCCGCAGCATGAAGCCCACGGCCCACTCGTAGGAGATGCGGAAGGAGCTGTTCTGGTTGGCCGTGCTGTGGATCTCCGAGGCCTTCTGGAAGAGGCTCTTCTCGTTGACCGGCAGCTGCTGCTCCCTCTGCCCCAGGACCCACGCCACCAGCTTGTCCACGGCTGCTCTGGCCCCCCCGGCCTTGCCCTCCTGCTCCCTCTGCTTCTCCTTCTCCTCCAGGCTGCCCATCCAGGTTGTGATCAGCTGGGGGGGGCTGCCGAAGTGCTCCGCCGCCTGGGGCACGCCGCAGCACAGGGCGAACAGCACGATCCGGAGCTGCCTGACCGACAGGGTCCCATCCCGCTCCTTCTCCCCGGCCTCCGCCTCCGGCCTGTCACCCCCCTGCTCCGGAGCCCGCTCCCCCTTCCCGGCCTCGCCCCCCGCCACCCGGCCTGCGGCCCCCCCACGCTCCCCGAGCGTGCTCGGGTCCACAACGGGGGCCGTCCCGCTGTTGGGCTCCTTCCCGTTGACGGCACCGGGCATCTTGACGTCGGCGGGTGCTTTTGGCAGAGGCTCATGGGTAACCTGGGGCTGGCTTCCGCTGCTGAGTTTTTTCGAAGCCCAGACAGCCTGTGGGAGGAGCCTGTAAGGAAAACAGCTGAAGTTAGAGATACAAGTCAGCAGGCAGGTCAATAATGTAGGTTAAAAAACTATATTACATTGCCGGTCCAAAATATTAGGAACTCTTCAACAGGATAATTTGTAGGGCCTCTACAAGCAGCAAAAACAACTTGAATTGGATGTGGCAAAAACGTATTCGGCAAATGTCCAGCAGGGGCACTTTCAGAGGCCGTGAGCAGTGCAGTGCCGTGCAATACCTGTTCTTTGTCATTCCTGCTGGGGTGGGGCCTGACCGTGCCACACCCACACTGTGCTCATCAGTTTATCACTTAAGAGCCGTTTAGATCAGAAATAGGGAAGCCAATTCATAATTAGGAAATTAAGGAGAAACTGTCTGATGATCAGTGTGCTGAAGTTTGCTGGAAATAACATGCTCTTGACTGTGTTTGAAACCAAGGCCTGAGGGCAGAAAAAAGTCTAAGCCAGCAAGCTGACGTGTGACAGACACACAGAGGTCACTTAGCACTGGGAATTAAGGGCCCAACTGGAACACCAACCAGCAGACAAAGGGGTCCTCCAGACCAGGACTGAGAATCACTGGTGTGTGGGACTCAACTGTACAGCTTTTCCAGTAACACTGAGATCTCAGGTTTCCTCCGGCCAGGAAGAGGTGAACTTTCTCATGTTCCTGAAGTCCAGCCACACACCGTCCTACCACTGAGTGAGTCTGTGCCTTTAACTGGAGCCTCCCGACGTTTTGGCCAGCGTGTGCAAGACGGCACGCAATACTTTGGGTCTTTTTCTCATTACTTACATTTCATTGTAGACTTAAGGAAGGAAAAGAACCAGGGTTATAAACCCAGCCTGTCAGTTACTAGCCAGGAAAACGCTCCACATCACAGGAAGAATTATGTTTTTGTGTACAGACGAGCTAAACAAATTTACATCCTGACAGTCTGACCGGCCTCACATTTTACAGTGTTTACGATAAGACTGACAGGCCTTGTCAAACAGCTGCTTCTTGGAGCACAAATACAAACAGAATCCAGGGGAACTCGGTTATCTGGACGATGACCACCGTCATAGTCTCTGCAGTCCACCAGAGGATACGGTCAAACCGCCATGGGCACAAGGCAGATGAGCCAGTATAGCGCCCCCCAGAGCACTGCTGTGGTATGACATTGCATTGCCCCTTGGCCCAGTTTGCGTGCGAGACCACAGTCCGTTGCTGCATGGGGCGCACTCCCCATTGTCAGAATGGCCCTTCTAACTCCATCAGAACTCTGAAAACCTGGGGAAAAAAAAAAAAAAGAGACGACGTACCTTGTAAAACCGTCCTTCTGCGATCCTGAAAAAGAAGAAAAAAAAACATTTAAAGAAATAAAAACCGCCAGGACGTCTTCCCGAGGGCGACACAAGCACAGACCCATGATGCTGACCACTGAGTGAGCTGCCATGCTGTTGTAAAACGGACGCACAGACCTGCGGCGCCCCCCTATCCGAGACCTGGGGGAGGGGGGGGTCGCACACTCCCGCACCCCCGAGACCAGGCAGCAGCAGCCCCCCCCGGCGGCACCAGAGGATCGCTCTGCTGTCCCTCTGCCTGCCCCCTGCCCCCCCCCCCCACGAAACAGCAACGTACTCGCAGAGCCTTACCTGTCCCCATGTCCTATCTCTGCCTTTTCTGATCTTTCCCTGTCAAGATAACATCACAACACTGTCACTCCTTCTGTCCGCCTACGCATGAACATTTCAATAAAACAGCAGACCTGGGGGCTTCTTCCCTCATCACACCATGGTAAATAACAGGTGGGATGTTTATTCCTACTACAAATACACTCGTACCCCGATATAAGAACTTTTGGTATACGACTTATCGCCAATCCGAACGTGATGAATTTGTACCCTGTAATTCGTCATACGAGCGCAATCTCGCTAATCTGTTCGAAAGTTCGAAAGCGACCGATTTTGGCCGAGAACTTTCTCCGAACAGTTGAATTCAGCGCCACCGAACAGCTGCTTGTTTCCGATGGGTGCAAGGCACTGTGGTTGAGCACGCCGTGAGACAGCGGTGCTTTGCCTACGCTCACTCTTTCAAACTGTGCTTCTTTTGTGTTTGTTTTGTAGTTGCTGTTCATTATGGGGTCTTAAGGAAAAGAAAAAGATTCTTAAGCGTAACAGTGAACAACAGTAGGCACATCGTTCTAGCCAATTGCTTGGATAGCAATCTATTACGAAAGAATGAAAAATGTAAATATATCATTAATTTTACAGCTTTAGTTGGCTTATTGAGTAGGACTGCATCGTTCACTAAGCTTGCTCTAATGGTCTGTGTGGTATTATATGATTAGGGTGGTTTTTGAGTGAATTTGTCTTTGGTTTGGGATGGGGTGGAATTTCCCCCCTAAGAAATAATGGAATTTTTATTTTCGATTTACGATCTCCGGCCTTCTGAACAGATTTTCAGGAATGTATAAGGTTCAGATACTGGGGTATGAGTGTAATTACAATAACACCATGTAAACATTCTCTCTTTGAAACTGGACAGAAAACTCGTTCCACCATACCTAACAGTCTTTCGGTTATACAGCTACAGGAACTCTGTTTTTGGTCAGAGCAAGTTCTGGGGGAACATTTGCTTTCCCCATTGATCCTGTCACGCATGTCATCCAGGACAGTGGAAAACGCCTTTCCTCCACTTTTCCCAAAAGTTTTCTGCCAAGTTATGTTTTCTTACGCCATTCTTAGAAATCACAATGAATTACTTTCTTTTTGCGCAGATTAATTTCCACTATTTCCATTATTTGATTTTCGACAACATCTTTCCCGTCGCTTAACGTCTGGGATTTAATGCACAGTAAAAACTAATGATAAGAAACTACACACACACACACCTGGACTATCTTTAGCACAGTGCTGCATTAAAAAAAAAAAACGATAACATCTTTGGTGCAATCATTCCCTACATAAAAAACAAAAACGACTAGATAGCTAACCAATTAAGAACAATTACTCTAAAACTGCAATCCTGTGTTATGCACAAGCCGTATACCTGTATATCCTTTATGCACATCTGGAACCCTTAAGATTAAAGGTCAAGACTTTCTACAACAGTGTAACCTGCTTCCACAGACTTGTGCTGTCCTCCGATTTATAAGTGTAACCCCCAAAGCCCCCCCTGACCCAGCGAACGGAGAACACCGCACTCTGCGCACGTAACTGCGTGAAAATCTGAGAGGCAGGCACAGTCGAGGCCAATTCGTGTAGAATGCAGAGGCAGTACCCCGGGTGTAAAGTGTAACGCTATGGGGCAGATTTAACACGGTCTCTTCTTTTCGAAGGGGGGTCCCCCAAGCACCAGGCTGTGGGTGTGCTGCGGGTCGGGCGACGGGTCGCTGGGGTACAGCCCGTTTAGGGAGGTAGGGGTGGGGGGGTTATTTGCTCATGCAGGTCTCGCTACGCAATCCATGTGGCTGCGGAGCCCTGGGTGATGACCTGCGCCCGGCGCCCCCTCCTGGTGGTACTCCCTGAAGCAGGCCGAGCCCTTGCAGAGGTTGACGCGGCAGGCGGTGCAGCCGTACACCGTCTCGTGGCGCAGGCCCTTGCGGCTGCAGTTCCGGCACCTCTTGGTCTTGGAGGTGATCTTCGTCAGCTGGTGAGCCGGCGCCGGCCTGCTGTCCCCTCCCACGCCCACCTCCCCCCGTTGTCCTCCTCCTCCTCCTCCTCCTCTTCGGCCGGCCGCGTGCCTCTGGCCGCACCTGGCGAGCAGCAGGCCGAGGCGCTGGCGGTAGTGGAACTGGGAGAAGCGCTTGCCCGAGACCCAGCTGGGCGGCTTGCCCTTCCGGCTCTCCCGGAGGATGATGAAGGAGTTGACCACGCAGAGGTTGAGGAAGAACCAGAAGAAGCAGCGCCACCAGCTGCCGCAGGGCCGGCCCAGCTGGTTGCAGTCCAGCAGCTGGTTGCAGATGTCCACCCCGCGCATGTTCTCCTGGTGCAGCTGGAAGGGCTTGGGCCGGCCGATGGGGGACAGGCCGCCGCCCTCGGCCCCGGACTTCCGCCACACCGTGTCGCTCAGGGCCGGCTCCGCGTTGGTGGACAGGCAGCACAGCTCCTTGCTGTCCCTCCAGCGGGTGGCCAGGAGGTTGCCCCGCTGCCACTGCCGGAAGTCGCCCGGGTTTCCCAGCATCCCCGGCTCCCAGAATTCCTTGGGCAGCCCGCGGAAGTCCTGCGCGATGGAGCCGCAGCTGTAGATGCCGTCACTGAGCAGCCTCTGGAGGAGAGGCACCGAGATCAGGGAGCTGGCCAGGAAGACCTGGTGGTGCTTCCCTTGGAGCCCCTCCACCAGCGGCAGCACCACCGAAGATCCGCGCCCCTTCTCCTTCTCCGGCCTCTGCGGATGGATCAGCACGCGGTGGCAGTACCCCGACTTGGAGTCGCAGAGGAGCCACACGCGTGGCTGCCGCCCCGCCCCTCTGCCTCGGCCGTTCTTGCCCCCTTCGCCCTCCACGCTGGGGATCAGGGCCCGGTCGATGGTCAAGCACTTGTTAGGCAGGTAGGCCTCCCACATGGCGTGCTCCACGGCGTCCAGCAGGGGCCGGATCGTGCGCAGCCGGTCGGCGGGATCCGGCCGCTCCCAGAGCGCGCTCCTGCCGCCCACTCGCAGGTAGGCGGAGAGCTTCTCGAAGCGCGAGGCGGGCATGGTCTTCAGGAAGCCCCGACTGCCGTCGTAGTGGGGGCCGGACCAGTACAAGCGGGGCTCGGGGAGGCCGTGCAGGCCCATGAGGATGCTGAGCCCGACGAAGGCGCAGATCTCCCGGGCGTCGGTGGGGCGCCAGTCCGGGTCCCGCCGCAGCCTCTGCCGCTGGCAGAACCTGGCGTTGGCGTTGGTCTCCTCCGCAATGACCTCGAACAGAGAGTCGGGGAACAACAGGCGGAAGTAGTCGATCGCGTCCGCGTTCCAGCCCAGGTTGTGCCGCAGCCCGCAACCCGACGTGAACTCCCGAACCTCGACCGGCTGGTCGGGCGGCTCCCAGAAGTCCGAGGATGCCGAGTCTTCCTGTTTCCCCCCAGTTTCACTCCCTTCTTCCTCCCCTCCCGGCTCCTCTTCCTCAGAGTCGGAGAAATCAATATCCGACTCCGGGGGTTCTGTGGGGAGGGGGTCACAGGGAACATAAGTTAATCTTCTCTTCCGGGACAGGGAATTTCTTTTTTCCCCCCTCACAATCCCAACATCATGCTGCGCAAACAAATCCCTGCAATACCAAGGCCCACGGCCGATCGTGGGAGGGGGTGGGGGGGTAAAATAAAGTCAGTCTGGTCGGCAGCCGGCGTTTTCCTCGGCGAAAATCCCTCTTCTGTTTGGCTCTTTAAAACGCGGCCATCTCCGTGGTGGGGGGTTTAAGAATTTAGCGTTTTGGGTCGTCATGCTTTCCAGGCGGCTTTTTTTGCAGCCGCAGTCGGGGGCGTTTCGTCTCAATTGGCTCTTTCCTTTTTGGGGGGGGTTCCTGCAAAGCGTTAGCGGAGGGAAAGAAGAAGCCAGAGACCGTAAAACTTCCAGAAAATCGGCCTGCACGTCCCGAGGATTTCCCGGCCGGAGGAGCAGGCTTTATGGGAGCGAGATGTGCAGTTCTAAAGAACCGGAACAGAGTGAAACATTATCTGGGAGGTCTCCCCCCCCCCCAGCCCTCTCGGCAACGAACTTTAGACCCCAAGTAACGACCACAACTTGGCAAACAAGCACGGTCTGCCTTCTTCCGTTGGCAAATGCCCAAACTTCACGGCTTGAGGGGCCATTTCCAGACTGATCTCAGCCTTCTTTGGGGGGGGAATACAGCACAATTTATGTGAAATGAAAAGTCCAAAACAGTCAGTCATCAAATTGTGTCCTTCCACAGAGTTCCTCAGAGGAAGGCCCGAGAATGTGTTATTCTAAAAGAAGAAGGACAGAGGTACGGAAGAACCCAGAATCTGAGGGGTTTCACGGTCTCTCACTGCAAACCTGCAATTGTCAGTTCAAAAAAGGGACTTTAAGTAGTGTGCTTGTAAAAAAAAAAAAGAAATTTGCCATTTGCAGAATAAAGTGATTTGCCTCCACTGTGACGAATGAAACGACGGTGCCAAGGGATGCCTCATCAGATAAGGAACCTTAAAGGTGGGGTCCGCTCAAGTCTCCCCGGAGACGCGGTGTCTTCCGCTCAGACTGAAAGCGCACGGCCACGTGCCCCCCCCCCAGGGAGAACGGGAACACCCACCTACCTTCCAGGGTGCAGAGGCTGAAGCTGTGGCTGGGGTGCTGGACCAGGTGCTTGGCCATCAGGTCCCCGACATTGGTCTGGTACGAGCAGGACGAACAGGCCATTTTCACCCAGCTGCGGCGAGAGGAAGGAGAGAGAGAGAGAGAGAAAGAAAGAGAGGGAAAAAAAAAGAAGACGTTGGGCAAAGAATTTCCCTTTTGTGCCGCGATGCTGAAGGGCAGAGCAGGGCTTCCTTTGCTAAACCCTTGATCTGAGGCCACAGCCCTGCAGGTTCTCCTTCAATCGTCAGCATCCGAGACCTCAGGCAAGGGTCCGGCTCAGCTGCACCTGCTCCACCCTCCTGCACACGTGCGTGAAGCAGCTGGTCATCTGGGGAAAACCTGCTGGACTGTTGCTCTTGGGCACCAGGGGTGGGGAAAACTGGATCTAGAGGCTGGCAATGACATTTTAGAAAATGCTTCACAACGTAGCTACATCACCTGCACCTGCAGTGTCGGATGGGCAAGACAAATTGGGGCCCCTTGCCCCCCATTCCCCCATGGGCCTTTATGGCCTGAAAAGGGACCTCCCTTAAAAGCACTTTTACAGCAGAGCCATCTGACTTTCTTAATGAAAAGACCTAATCATAAAATGAAATGAAATAAATCATTAGTAGACTTTTTTGCATTTCTCTAAGCTTGTGTTAAATGCACTTTATTGATCTTATACAGAAGATATCAACAGAATCTATAATCATGTCCTGAAGTTTTTCGCCTCCACCTGACAAAGATTGAGAATCAAATATTTAAATGGAATATTATATTTCCATATTGCAAATGGAAATAGCCTGTAGGTTAATAGTTTGAATAAGACCTATATTTTGCGGTAATGTTGAAAAACAGAGCATTTGGAATATCAGTATATTTAACGTACGCTGTTAAATGACCCAAATTAAGAGTCAATAAACTCATATTTCTTGTCTCGTTGACTCTGTCTATAACCCCCCAAAAAGTTTTATTGTAGTACTAGAAAAAATCCAGACAGAAGGTTGATTTGTTTCGGAGATTTGTTTTTGGATATTGAGGTGACATTTCAATAAAGGTTTTTCTTTCAGCTGCTGGCCCCTCGGTTTACAGCTGCGATTCCCTGCGGAAGCCTGTGGGGGCGGGGGTCTCGGGGGTCTCCGTCTGCGCCCGGACTCATCCCACACCCCGCGGACTTCTTCTGAACGCCCGCCGACACGCAAGCAGAGGTCTCAAGGGAAAACTATGCGGCCCTGCCATTTGAAACCGAAAACAGGAGGCACTTTACGCTACGAGCGGCGGGAGTCTGGAACAAGCAGCCCAGCCATGTTGATGAAGCCGACACCCTGGCTTCTGGGCGAGATCCTTGGATCAATTACCCAGATGTGCAGTACCAGTTGGGAAATCCAGAAGCAGTCAGAAAAATATTTTTCTGTTTTGCCAAATGACCACAATTTGATTTTGAACCCCCAGAGGGTGAAGCCGTGCAGTAGCCTGTGAAAGAGGGGAAATGATCGGGGGAACCGAGCCCCCATGTTACCTCGGGGCGGGCTTCTTGTACAAGGCCAGGTACTTGGGACTCTTGCGGGGCACGTGGTTGCTGCAAAGACACAACGAGAGAAATGCTACAAGTTAACATCTCACACTCCTGTTTTCTCTCTTATTTTCAGGCTGGAGGATCCCCTGTGAGGATGAAAAGGATTAACTGCCCTGAACAGACTCTAAGCACTCGGAGAAGAGAAATCGCAGGACTTGCCAAGACGCACGAGGGAGCCGAGGCAATGAAAAGTCAGAACCAGCCCCTCAGTTTTCAGCAGGGGCACCGCTTCACTGATCAGAACAGGTCAGAAACACGGCTATACCCCAAGGGCGAGAGCCCTCGCCCCGCTACCTCACCCCTC